GGATCGGACTTCGCCGCCGAAGCATGGCCATGTTCCCGCCCCGAGACATGGCAGCTTCTGGTTGCCATCTCTTGGGGTCACATCTTTTACTTCCGCTGGCTTCCGCCGGCCTGCGCCGAGGACGAGATGCCAACTCCGTCGATCCTGGAAGTCGAGGCCGTTTCTGGAACGCCTCATACCCATACCTCCGTCGACATGACTGTTCCATGACGTCGACCCCCAGGAAGGCTCGACCAACGCCCCAGGACCAGCTGTTCTTCTTGAGCAGTTTTTGATGGCCCCGACAACTGGTGAGGGACCCCAGAAGCTGAAAGTAGTGAAAAAAAACCTTCCGCCATGACTTTTTCAAGGCTCGATGGGGATGTGAGTATGGACGTCCAAGATCTACTGACCTGGGTCAATCCAAACCCAGGTCAGTCAGGCAGCACCCAGACCCGGGTCGGTGCAGCCCTGGATTTGTAGGATCCTGCCAGATCCAGCCCTCTGACGAACACCCGTTTGCACGGAACCCCGTCTCCTGAGCTCGGGGGCGCGCAAACATAGATTATCGATCCATGGATTTGGCGCGCGGTCGCCAAATCCACGGATCGGGGGAGGGTCCCTCCACAAAATGCGGCCGGTGCCGCCTCGCTCGGAGCCGGAAATCCGCGACTTCCCATGGCAACGGGACTCGACCCCAATCCACGCCCCCTCGACCCATGTTTGCGATCGCCTGAATGATCCGGCGCTCTGACTGACCCCCGTTTGCACTAACCCCCTTTTCCTGGGCCTCCAGGATCGGGACCTCACATCGAGCCGGGCCGATCGGGCCGAAGTGAGCCCCGTCCCCCCTGGGGCGGCCGCCAGCGGCCCCTGCCTCGGAGCAGACGTCCCGTCCGACAGCCTTGCGCCGCGGGTCGGGCGCAAAGGTGGTCTCAGCCGCTTCATCGTCCTCAGTCCTCCATCCCTCCTCGATCCCTCCTCCGGCCCTCCTCTCCTTCCTCCTCCTCCTCCTCCTCCTTCTCCTCCTCCTCCTCCTCCTCCTCCTCCTCCTCCTCCCTCCTCCTCCTCGTCCTACCTCCTCCGCCCCTCGTCCCTCTCCACTCCTCCTCTCCTCATCCTCCTCCTTCCCTCCACCTCCTCCTCTCCTCCTCCTTCGACTCTCCTCCTCCTCGTCCTCCCCTCCTCCTCCTCCTCTATTCCTCCGCCTCCTCCTCCTCCTCCCTCTCCTCCTTCCACCCTCCCTCCTCCCCAGTCCTCCCATCCTCCCCCTCCCTCCCCAGTCCTTCCTTCATTATCCATACCCCGCTTCTCTCCACCTCACCTCAACCTCTCCCTCCTCCTCCTCCCTGCGCCTGCTCCTGCTCCTGCCCCTCCTCCTCCTCCTCCTCCTCCTGATCCTCCTCATATCACCTCCTCCTTCTCCTCCTCCTCTCCTCTTCCTGCCCCGCGTCCTCCTCCTCCTCCTCCTCCTTCTCCTCCTCCTCCTCCTCCTCGTCCTCCTCCCACTCCCACTCCTCCTCAGCCTTGACCTCCCTACTCCTCCGCCGATTCCCTCTTCTCCTTCTCTTGCTCCGTCCCTCCTCCTCCTCCTCCTCCTCCTCCTCCTCCTCCTCAGCATCGACCTACTCGTCCGTCTCCTGTCTCCACCTCCATGCTGCGGGCAGTGTAACCTCCAAGATGGCAATGCCCTGTTCTCCCTGCTCCTCAGCCTGGACCTCCTCGTCATCGTCGTCGTCCTCCTCCTCCTCCTTCTCTTCCTCAATCGCCCTCCTCCTCCTCCGTCTCCTCCCTCATCCTCCTGCTCGGTGACCTGCATAGGCGGCGCCCGTGACCGATCGCGTGGGCTGGGCAGGCCGTGCGATGAGCAGATTGCGCAACATGGCAGAGGATATCCCGATCGGCGGGAGGATGGTTTCTGGCCGAAACTTCTGCTGCGGGTAATCCTACCACCTGGCTTTTTCATATAGCTCGACGTCCTCCGAACTCCGTTTCCTCTTTATCATCAACACCACAACCAGAAGCATCAGCATCGTCACCACCACCACCATCATCATCATCAGCATCACCATCATCATCATCATCATCATCATCATCATCATCATCATCATCATCACCATCACCATCACCATCACCATCACCATCATCATCATCATCATCATCATCATCATCATCAGCATCATCATCATCATCATCAACATCATCATCATCGTTATCATCACGATCATCATCACCAACATCACCATCACCGTCGCCATCATCATCTTCATCATCAACATCATCATCATGATCAGCATGAACGTTCCGCTCTATTCTCATCCTCCTCCTCCTCACCCTCATCCTCCTCCTAAACCTCTTCTCCCTTCTTCACCCACTCCTCGAGGTTCGATTATCCAACACGTTTTGCATTTGGGTATGGTGTGCTTGCTTTCTCTGGGTCTCTGGAAGCCTCTGAGCACCTCTGGAGAATTTCCCTCCTCCTCCCTCTCCTCGTCCTCTCCTTCCTCCCCCTTCTCCTCCTTATCCTCTTCCTTTCCCTTCTCATTCTCCTCAACCGACAGATGGAAGACGTAGATTGTCCAGAAGCGTCGCCCAAGAGATGGCTCGCGATACTGCGTAGAGTGGCCACGTTGACCGCAATTCGCCATGCACCTACCTCTCTTCTGCCAGGCAAAAGCGGTGAATCTGGTGATACACGCCGACTCCGCTGGCAACCGAAGCCCGCGGTGTCTTCAACTCCAAGCCGCCCTCGGGCCATGGGCATGGCGACCCCATTCCCCGACTTTAGCAGCCTTTCATACGATAGGGGGGCGTCCATCCGCTAGCGGGGAAAGAAAGGCACGCTCTCCACATAAGGCGCTCGGTCTCGGGGTGTAAAAATATCAAGAAGATCAGACGAACATATTCCTTGTCCGAGTGTAAGCTCAACAAAGATCGTGAGGATCCGGCCAAGGCCACCCGCCGAACATATGCCTTGTATGCGCGTGATCTCATCAAGGATCGTGAGGAACTGGTCAAGGCCACCCGCCCAAACCTCAGGGCGAATCCTGCAGGATCCAACATGAATTTGAAACGGAGAAGGTCCAATTCGCCTGGAGAAACAACTAGACCGGGCAATCTTCGAATATAAGATGCAGCGCTTATGCGAGGACGCAGTAGTGGTAAGAGTGACTCGTGGCAGCAGTTGTCCTAGACGCAGGAGTAATAGTAGTAGCAGTAGTAATTATACAATCGGGGGTGGTATGTACAGTAGTGGTAAGCCGCACACGTACCAGATGCAGTTTGTAGTTTTCGGTATAGAGGTGGGGCTCACAGAGGAAAAGCCAAAGTAGTAGCACTAGTCCTTCGAATTGGTATGTGTATGAATCATCCAGTCCTGAAACTATTGCGTATGATTGGTGATACCATACGCCAAACTAGCAAAATACCGATTATGGGCGGGCCGGGGGATCCTTGATCACTGGAAACTGTTGCGCGAGCCAGCACACAAAATATGCGTTCGGCACTTCGGCGGCTACGCGCTGGATTCCCATGCGGGTCACCCCCACGCCGACCACGTGGTATGTGTTTTTTTTGGTGAAATCATCACGCGGGAGATTTGTGTCAGAAACGTTGTCCCTCAAAATCAAACATACATAAAATGACGCCCACTTGTTTGGGGTCCTAAGCCGACGCCTCCCAAGCCGACTAAGTTGCGAAATGTTTGTTTCTTGCTGTTCTGCAGCTGGTTGTTATGTTTGATTATGATGTTGGCGGTTGTTTCAGAGGTTGTCGACTTACTGTGGATTCCCAGGCCAACGGACCCCACACCCAACGCCGTGTACATTACGAAATTTGTATTTGCAATTTGTCTTCAAGGGCCCTCACAGGGATGCTCTGGTTAGTTTTGCTTTAAAACTGGACTTGTCAATGGGTTGCAAAAAACCCTCTCAGCTGGCGAGCACATGAACGGATCGACGGTATCTTAATAAAAGGATTATACGGCAAGGGTGCTGAAAACATCCTATAACCATAACGACTCCTTACGCAAGACTCCTTCTAAAGTGCCCGGTGGTGAAAAATTGAGTTCTTTGAGGGCTGTTCCTTGGAGGTTCCCTTACTATGGATCCCATTGAGAGAATGTTGTAGGAAGGGTTCGCTATCAGGACTCTTCAGCAAGGACTTCATTCAGGGGACCTCTCAGCAAGGGACAGGACTTCAAAACTAATACTTCAAACTAATGAACACACCGTAAGGCGTCTGGACTGAATATTCCTGTATATTGGCCTTTAAAGAGGATACCTACTAAAATATTCATGTGTCCAGATTCGGTGGTAAGGACACCATGTAAAGGATCACTCATCAAGGGTTCTTCAAAAAGGCTTCGCGGTTAAGGACGCTTTAGGAAGCATCCTTTCGTAAGGAATTGTTGAAAAGGATCCCTTCCCGAAGAACACGGAGGAACGATTCCGTACGAAGGAATCGCTCAAAATACGTCTTGTTCGCAGCGTTCTACGGCATTGTTCATTGTTCGCAGAACTATAACATACGTCGTTCATATCTATATATATAAGTATATTCAGTAACGCTTCCACTTCAAACATTTGTCGTTTAGATCTTAGCATGGAGGTTTCGGCACCAAGGACCCCGCTGTAAGGTCAAATTGTGATCAGGATCGTAGCGATGTGCAGCAATCCTCGCCATCGTCCTTACCTGAGGAGATCAAAGTTATAGCGTCCGCGAAAACACGGCAGGCCACATAGCGAGGATATGACCAAGCAGACATAAACGTCAAAGCAAAAGTTGTCGTGGTAGCTGGTGGTAAGGTGGACAACTCATGGTAACCTGAAGTTGTAGTTTGTGTGCTAGTAGTAGTAGTAGTAGTAGTAGTAGTAGTAGTAGTGGTGGTGGTGGTGGTGGTGGTGGTGGTAGTAGTAGTAGTAGTAGTAGTAGTAGTAGTAATAGTACTAATACTAGTAGTAGCATTGGTGTAAGTGTGTGGTATACGGATATCATGGTTGAGCTCAGACATGTGGAGTGGTATTAGTCGTACTATATCTAGGCAAAGATGTATACATAAGTTAAAAACGACACGGACGCAAACGTATTACGAACACGTGTAGTCAACAAGCACATCATCAACAATAAACTAATGGTAGTAGTTGCAGTCGCGGCCCTCGGAATCATAATGGTAACACTGTCCGGCCTAAGGTAATCAGTGCACTGAGTTGGTGTGTAGCTGCTGATCAATACAATCAACGCAGTCGTAGTAGTAGTAGTAGTAGTCGTCGTAGTAGTAGTAGTAGTAGTAGTAGTAGTAGTAGTAGTAGTAGTAGTCGTCGAAGTCGAAGTCGTAGTAGTGGTAGTGGTAGTGGTAGAAGGAGTAATACTCGTCGTCGTAGCCGTAGTAGCAGTAAAAGTAATAGTAATAGGAGTAGTACTAGTAATATTAATAGGATTTAGTCGTATAAATACTCGCAGTAGTCGTATCAGTAATATTCGAATGTGTAACAAAAGTAAGAGTAGCAGTAGTCCTCGTAGTAGTAGTAGTAGTAGTCGGAGGAGGAGGAGGAGGAGGAGGAGGAGGAGTCGTAGTCGTACCAGTGTGCGCCGTCGTCGCCCTAGCACTAAACTTAAGACTTCTGTAAGCATGCTATTCGACATCTGTTCCTCTTCTCTCGCTCCTCCTCTTGCCCGCGGTGTGCCCTCTTCCGCGGTGCCCCCCCGCGGTGTTTGGGCTGTGGTGCTTGGTGCTTGGTGCTTGCTGTTCGGGATGTGGGGTTTGGAATGTGGGGTGTAGCCTATGGTGTTTGATGTTGGGGGTTCTGGGTTTGGGTGGGTGTTGGTTGGTTGTTGGTTGGTTGGTGTTCGGGGTTTGGTATTTGGTGTTTAGGGTTGGGTGCTTGGGGTGATGGGGGATTGGGGTGGTGGGGTTGGGCGTTTTTTCTAAGCATTTCCATTGTTTATTGGCAAGGAGAAGGAACCCTTTTCCCGCAGAGCGAACCCTTTTCCCAGAGAGCTACTTGTTACCGCGTCCATCATCGATAAGGGGTGCGTCCGAATATCCCGCTGAAGGTGTATCCCCGATTTCCCCTTCTTGTTTGAGCGACCTGAATGTTCGGGGGCACCCTGGGGACTGGCGGCGAAACATCGCCTGTGATCCTCCGCGATGAAAGCTTGAACAACGGCAGGCCTCCCTTCTCATCTGGAGCCGAAAGCCGGACCCACGTCCGACGACCTCACCGCGCGGCCCGTCGCAACACGGTTTAGGCGACCCTGGAGGCCCCGGTCGCGTGAGACACCCTCGGAGACCGTTCCAGAAGCCCGAGTCACACAACCGCGTGGTGAACCCGCATCCCCACTGCCTCACCATTCCGACCCTCGCCCGAATGTTTGCTCTCTGGGCCTGTCGTCGGGTCTCTGGCTCGGCGACGAGCCTGGGGGGCAAGTGAGAAGAAGCCGGCCTTCTCAGCAGGCTCGGAAGTGCCCCTACCTTCTACGGAGATGTCTGGGCCTTCCCCGAAGACTGTCAGTCTGAGAGAATCTCTCATCCTGAAAGAATCTCTCAGAAGGCAGCAGGCCCTCCGAGACGCCCCGCCGCCTTCTGCGAAGGCCTTCTCCTTCCCACTTCCCCCGCTCGCTCGCCGCCGACTGGCGGCCGTGCGGGAGGATCTGGGCACCGCCCGGAACGCTCTCGGCGAGGCGCAGCTGCCGAAACGCGTCCCAAGGCTCGGAGACAGCTGAGGATCTACCAACACGTCCGAAAACCTCGGGTCCCAAACACCGCGCGATGACCCCGAAGCCCCACTGACTCACCGCGCGGTGTGGTCACCACACCGTCTGGAGGCCTCCCTGTCAAGTCTGCTGCAGCTGCCAGGTGCATCCGCCGGGCCCTAGGGCGGAGCAGGCGGCCGAGTGGCCACGCGCCCTTCGGAACCAGCCAGGCGCCGCGCGCAAGGCGACCGACTTCCACGGAACCAGGCACCCGGACGCGCCCATCTTGGCTGACGAAGAACGGTATAACATGAACGCTGCCGCCATCGGGGCCGCATGCCCCAGGGCGGCTGCGAAACTTACTCCCCGACGTGCCACCGTGAGGGGACGAACCTTCCAGGGCAGCAGCACGCCTCCCCGTCGGCACTGCTGCAGCCGCGAGGCGACTCCGCCGGGCCCCCCGGGCGGCGCAGGCGGCCGACTTTGGCTGCGCGCCCTGCGGAGCCAACCAGGCGCCGCGCGCAGGGCGACGGACCGCCACGGAACCGGGAACCCGGACGCGCTCCCTGCCCCCATGTTAGTACCGGCGACGACGGCGCCAGCGGCGACGACGGCGCAGGCGTCGACGACGGGGCGCCGGCGGCGGCGGCGGCGCCCAGCGCGGCTCAGCCGCGGCCAACGGCAACGGCGCAGCGCTGCGCAGCCGCGACGACGGCGACGGCGTCGCCGCTGGCGGCGGAGGCGGCGACGGCGGCCAGCTCGCCACAAGCAGCACGACTTGGGAACGGTATGAACCAAACTCTTCCGCCATGGAGGACCTCCCTTTCAAGGTAGCTGGAACGTCGGGGAATAAAACATCACAGCCACCCTGGGACCGGCGTCCCGATGGTGGAAACGTTTATGTCATGCCGTCATTCGTCCGCGAACCATCGCCCTCCCCGCCCGTTGCCCACATTTGCCCACACGCATTTGCCCACACGCATCTCAGTCGCCGCCCGGCCACTGATGCTCTATCCTCATCACGCAGGCTGGCCCGATCCAAATTCCGCTGGCCTCCGCACTGTGCGCCTAAAGACCTCCCCGATGGGATCCGAGCAGATGGGAGCGGAGGACCGCGCCGCATCGCCAATGCACCGCCGCTGTGTCGGCGATGCATCGGCGACGTCGGCGCGGAGAAACTCGGGCTCCCCATCGCGCTGCAGCGATGCGGCGCGATCCCCCGGCCCCACATGGGAGGCCGGGAACTTGTGTAGGGGGCCGAAGTCTATACACCGACGCTTTTTCCGGCACCGCACTGAAACTCGCACGGGAAAGCGGATCCTGGTGTATGCGGGATCCTGGTGTACACATGTTTCGCTGTTTCCCCAGAGAAGCCCCAAAAAGTTTTCACCACACCACCCCGACGTCGCCCCCGACCCTCAAAAAGTCCTGGGATTGAAAAACAGCCCGCCACTGGTAATGTATATGCTCGAATTTCCGATCGTGAGCACTGTCGAGGATCTTCTGACCCAGGGCAAACCAAACACGGGTCAGTGGGGCCTTGCAGGATCGGGCAAAACCCTGCAGGATTCTGCCACACCCAGATCATCGCAGCCCTGGCTCTGCAGGATCCTGCAAAATCTGGGGCTCTGACTGACCCCCGTGCTTGTATTGACCCCAATCTTGAGCCCCAACACTGACCGACCCATAAAACAGTGCTAGGATCGGGATAAATCGCTCCAGAGCGTTCTGGAGCGCTCTCAGAGCGTTCTGGAACGCTCTGGAGCGGCCGCGGCGCCCGATGCATCCTCCAAACCCGCCGATTCTCAGAGACTTCGAGCTACCCCGATCCGATATTGTCCCGATCTTCGCGTCATTTTATGACCCCAACCTTGAGCCCCAACACTTCGGGGATCTTCTGACCCGGGTCAATCCAAACCCGGGTCAGCAGGAAACCAAAAACTGCAATGCAGGAAAAAAAAACTGCAACGCAGGTCTTCGCAAACCCGGGTCAGCCAATCTGTGCGGCCACCTCGCGGCCACGAGCGGCTCGCTAACCCGGGTCAGCCAGAGGGGGTCTTCGCAGGATCCTGCAGGATCTGGCGCTCTGGCTGACCCCCGTCTCAAGGCTGCCCCGGCGCCTCAGCAGCGCCGGCCCGGACATCGTGTGCGAGACCAGCATGGCGGCGGCGGACGTGCCGCCCGCCGAGGCACCAGCGCCGGGCCCTGTGCAGGGCGCAGGAGGAGGGCGGCGCCCGGTGCACACGAGGGTTCGAGAGGCGCACGGCGAGCTCCAAGAGATCCTGCCCCCCGTCCAAGGCCTCCTCGCGCCAGGAGTCAAAGACACATCTGCATCTTGAAGGGGCCCTCTGGGACACACATAGATAAGCACAAATAGCAGGATTCCCTATAATTTCTGATATTTTCTAGGTTTTTGTCTTCCTCCCCCAACTCCCATATTTTCCAATATTTTTCCGGGGATTCGACGATTCATTGTGTCTGTGTTTCGTTCCCTCATGAGATTTACGCATGTATGTATATATACATATATATAGACATACATATACATATAAGTATTTATATGTGTATATATATAATCATACGCACCTCCCCAAGGGAATAGAAATCGGAGGCGATTCATGAAATCCGTACTTCTTACTCTGGTCGCTTCGCTTGGGACATCCGCAACGTTCTGAGAAGCGGGCGTGCCCCTCACGCAGATCGCGACATCACGGTCCAGAAACACAATGGGCATTCAACATGTTCATATAGAACCTGCAGAACACTCAGTGGAATTTAATGATTTTGAGCCCGGTTCTTCGAACATTGCGAGATTACGACTGCATCATCTTCCAAATGTCGAGCCCCTTTTCGACGCGGTTCTTAGAGCAAATGCCGTTTCGCCTGCAACGTCCTCACAGAATCGAGCCCCGACGAGCAACACATCACACAGAATGCACACAGAACACACACAAGCACACGAACACACAAAAGACACCACAAACAACACACACAGAACATACACACAAGCACATAACACCTACAATACACATATTCCACACAGAGGACACTCACAGACACACGCACACACACACAAACGCACACACGCACGCACGCACGCACCCACACCCACACCCAAACCCACACCCACTTTTGGCGTCGCGGCCCTGCGCGCAGCAACAGGGCGTCGACAAAAAACACAAACCTACACCCACACCCAAACACGCACACACCCACACATACACACCCACACACCCTTACCCCCACACACACACACACACACACACACACACACACACACACACACACACACACACGTGACACACATACAGAAACCAAACGCAAGCAACACACACACACACTTAACGCATACACGCACACACACACAGCAACCCACTCAAACCTAACACACATAACACGCAGGCCGCACATAACCCACATACAACTCACACATCGCGCAAACACACACACACAACGCACAACACACGCACAACGCACGCACACACAACATACACCAAACATAACACACACACACACACCTTACACATCACGCACACATATCCTGCACATGTGTTTGCACGAGCCTGGGAACGCACGTGTCACGTGTCGCATGTATATATAGATACGTATATATATAGATGTGTGTATATGCATGTGTGTTATGTGTATGTGTGCATACATAGATATATACACATACACATATCGCCACGCCGTTTGTTCTCGACGCGCCCAAGTGGACGGCGCCCGTCCCGCGGCAAACCCACGGCGAGCCCTGCGCCCCGCGCCCCGCGCAGACGACGCCGGCACCGCGGCAAACCCGCGGCAATCCCACCGCGCCCGGGGCGGCGCGGCCGCGTCGACCCCCCAAAGGCGTAAGGCCATGCGTCGGGGCGCACGGCGCGGCGACGGATCTGCGCGCGGGCACACCATATGTTCGACGTCGGCGCCGTGCGCAAGGGCGAGGGCGGGGAACGCCAGGGTCTGGGGCACCCTCCGGGTCTCGAGTCTGGCGGAAGCTGGCGCGCCTTGTCTCGCAACACCGGCCGCCACACCTCGACATCGACCGACATCAGGAGGGAAAAAACACACACAGACACATGAATCGTCGATTCCCCAGAGAGTATGGGAACAGATGGGAAGTGGGGGGGAGACGAAAACCTCGAACAAATATCGGGAGATATGGGGAATCCTGCTGTCTGTGTCCATTTGTTTGTGTGTCCCTGGGCCCCTTGGAAGAGTCCTGGGGGCCCCAGGGGCCCTCCGGGGCGGCCTCCCCCCGCGCGCCGCGGCGACGAGGAGCCTCCTCGCGGGAGAGGAGGCCCCGCAAGCAAAAAAGTCAGGACGAGCATGCAGCGCCCCCTCGAGGGCAGGGCCGCCGCGGCCTCGGCCCTTGCGGCCCAGAAAATAGAACGCCCCAGGACGGCTCCAAGCTTCAGTCGGGCCAGGGAGGAGGAGGAGGAGGAGGAGGAGGAGGAGGAGGAGGAGGAGGAGGAGGAGGAGGAGGGTTCTAGCTTAATTTCAGGAGATCCTAGGGGTTGCAATTTGTTTCGCAACACGGGTTCTAGCTCCATTCCGGGCCCCGGGACCCTCACAGATCGACCGGGCTCGGAACATGGCACAGAAAAAAGATGCGGCCCGGGGCTCTGGGCGTGATCTCTTGCGCTGTTGCCATATTTTTTTGCAGCGTCGGATCTCAGGGCAGGACGGCTCCAAGCGTAATGAAGGGGCCCTGGGACACACAAATAGATAGACACAAAGAAAGATATCCCTTTATATTTTCCCATATTTTCGGGGTTCTGTCTTCCCCCTCACTTCCCATATTTTCCCATATTTCTTCCTGGGAGTCGACGATGAATGGTGTCTGTGTGTTTTTTCTCTCCTGACGTAAGTCGGGCCTGTCCCCCTGCAGGGGGCCAGAGGCCTGGCCCAGAGGCCGCCGCCCGAGCATGGCTCTGGGCGTGATTTCCTGCGATGTCGCGCTTTTTTTGCAACGTCGGATCTCAGGGCAGGACGGCTCCTTCAGCTTACGTCGGGCCTGTGCCCCTGCAGGGGGCCCGGAGGCCCTCGCCCGAGCAGGGCTCGGGAGGCGCAGCGGCGGGCCCCCAGGGGGGCGGCGAAGCGGCCGAGGCCCTCCCGCGGACACCCGCGCAGGGCGGGCCCGCAGCTCCAGGCCTCCTAGATGGGATCCGAGCCTCCTCCTCCTCCTCCTCCTCCTCCCTCCTCCTCCTCCTCCCCTCCTCCCCCTCCCCTCCTCCCCCTCCCTCCTCCTCCTCCTCCTCCTCCTTCCTCCCTCTCCTCCTCCTCCTCCTCCTCCTCCTCCTCCTCCTCCTCCTCCTCCTCCTCCTCCTCCTCCTCCTCCTCCGCCCTCCTCCTCCTCCTCCTCCTCCCCTCCTCCTCCTCCTCCTCCTTCCTCCTCCTCCTCCTCCTCCTCCTCCTCCTCCTCCTCCTCCTCCTCCTCCTCCTCCTCCTCCTCTCCTCCTCTCCTCCTCCCCCTCCTCCTCCTCCTCCTCTCCCTCCTCCGCCTCCTCCTCCTCCTCCCTCCTCCTCCTTAGATGATGGGACCGAAGGATCGCGCCACACCGGCGACGTCGGCGATGCATCGGCGACGTCGGCGTGGGGAAGATGGGGCCCTGCATCGCGCCGCATCGCCGATGCATCGCCGATGCGTCGCCGAGGTGGCGCGATCCTCCGACCCCATCGACTCGGACCCCATCCAGGAGGCCTGGCGCGGCACCGGACGGCCCAAGAAACGCCGGCGTCGCGACGTCGCACGTGCGAGGTCCCACGGAGGTCTATAATTACCCAGACAGGATCGCGTCGTGAGAAAAATCAGGACGGGAGGTTTTGGGCAATTTTCGGCCTCGGGGGGCCTCCGCCGGGCCTCGGGACCGTCAAAAAACGACTCAGGACGAAAAACCGGTCCCGGGGAAAGGGTCGGGACTTCTAGGGACGCCGCCCTGAAAAAGACAAGACGTCGCACTTCTGGGTGGACCCCTTCCCCGGGGCGGAACTTCATCCTGAGGCGTTTTCTGACACTCCCGATTACGAACCAACAACACACACCCACACCCTTAGGGGGATCGGAAAAGGCTATGGGTGTGTGTTGTTCGTTTGTCGCCCGAGGCCCGGCGAGGGCCCCCCGTGAGGCATAAAATAAAGAAAAGCCGTCTTCCGGGGCCGGACTTCCATGCTGAGACGTGTCTCGACGGACCATGGGGACCTCGAACTCGCGCAGGGGAGGTGGACGAGAGGTCTCGGGCCCTGTCGACCCAGAAACTGGTACCTGGGGGGGGCGGGCAACAGTAACGCTTGGTCGGGGAAGGCATGTCGACGTCGTCGATGACGACGACAACAACGAGGAGGACGAGGGCGAGGACGTCGACGAGGTCGGGGCGGGGGTGCGCCGCGACCGCCATGTACGCGCGCGAATACCAGCATGTGGGGGGGTCCAAGTCCCCCACCTACGTACGATCGCTACATTTACCCGGCGAAGGGGGGGCGGAGTGCCTGGCAACGACCGCATGAACGGGCCCACGAACACACAAATAAATACGCACAAATCCCAGGACCCCCCATATTTTCACATACTTTCTGGGATTATGTCTTCCCCCCCCCACTTCCCATGTTTCCGCATATTTTCCTTGGAATCGACAATTCATTGTGTCTGTGTGTTTTTTTTTCCCTCCTGACCGTTGCGCGCCAGAGTGCGCAGAAATCTCCAAAAGAAGGCGGAGGTGGAAGCGGAAGAGCGGCAGCAAGAGCAGGGGGGGGGGGCAGAAGAGCGCACGGTCCGACCTGAGACAGAAGAGCACCCTCCAAGAGCATCAGAGCTCCGCGGGCCAAGGCACCCCCCGAACGATGAGATCACTCGATGGCAACCCTCCCCCGGGATGCACAAAAATACCCAACAAACACACAGAACATCAGGGTACCCTCCCCGAGCCGACCTCGATCTCATACTTGGCGGCGGGCGAGGGGGCGGAAGAGGAGGAGAGGGCCTTCGCAGAAAGCGCGGGACTTCTCACCTCAGCCCTCGCTCCTCCTGAGAAGTGGTTATTTGTCTTTTTCGGGGAGGCTCGGCAAACTCCTCAGAAGGCCGGGGGACCTCCGAACCTTCTGCGAAGGCCTCTTCCTGCTCCATTCCCCCTCTCGCTTGTGTATTTATATATATATATAGATAGATACTAGAACCATCGCGCGCGCTTCGCGCGCGCTCAGGTTCTAGC